TGGGGAATTCTGGGAGTTGAAGTCCACTCACCTTAAAGTGGCCAAGTTTGGACAACATTGGTCTAGATAGTATCTATCTGTCTTTTTAGATTTTTTTTATCCCGCCTTTATTCTTTTTATAAATACTGTAACTCAAGGCGGTGAACACGCCTAATACTCACTCCTCCTCCTGTTTTCCCCACAACAACAACCCTGTGAGGTGAGTTGGGCTGAGAGGGAGTGACTGGCTCAAGGTCACCCAGCTGGCTTCATGCTTAAGACAGGACTAGAACTTGCTGTCTCCTGGTTTCTAGCCTGGAGCCTTCACCACTAGACCAAACTGGCTCTCATAGTTTCAGTCTTGCCACAGTCCTGACATTTTACTTGTTTTTCATTCCAATACTTGGTGCCCCCTTCCCTCCTGACAGTGATCCTGCAAAGTAGGCCAGTCTGAGAGCACGGGACGGGGCTCTGGTAATGATGGCTGGCTGCCCACAGGCAAGATGTGCAGATCTCGCTTAAAACCCGACAGGGTTGTTTGATTTTAGCTTGATATTCTCTGTGGACCCTGGGTCATGTACAAACCATGGTTTGTGGCTTAGCCTGAAATGAGAATCCGGCCACTTGTGTTTGGTAAATGAACCACAGCCTTACTCAGTGTGGGAACCAAGTCACATTTGGATGCTCTGGAGGAGAAGCGTTGGCGACATAGGCGGGGGTCCCTGGCTTCCGCTTAGCCACCCCGACGGCTATTCTCATGAGAGCAGCGCAGCCCAGATGGCGAGCGTGCATGAGAAATTGCAGCACCTTTTTTCTGCTTAGAAAAACCACATCACCCATGGCAGCCACTGAGAAAGTTCCTGGCTGAGCATGGGAGGTCTGGTCCCACCCACAGCGAGAAAAGCAGGAGTGGGTTCCTTTGCTCCTTAATTGCAACATGCCAAGATACCTAATTGCCTTTTTCTCTAATGCTATAATAGTGTGAAGAATTATGCAAAGTGATCCCCCATTGTGTTGCATGAAGGCCTTCGAGAGAGGGAACATCATGCAACAGAGCAGGGACGTGTTTTTTAAAGGATGTATTTATCTGGGAACTTTCTCCCTTCCCTTCCCTAAAATCTCTTGTGGCTTTTCTGCTGGGACTTTTTCCACTCCAGTTCTCTTGTTTCCACCTCAGAAATCATTTGTCTCATTGTTCAGAGCAGGCGAGAACCTCCCTCAGATTTCTGGAAGTGAGCAACTTGTCCCCATGGGCAAGGGCATTTGTGGGAGGAAGGTCAAAAAAGTCACGGTGGCGGCTATGACTTCACAGATGAAGCTGTGCCCATTTTTATGTGTGCTGATGACCCCCCATTGCACTTTTAAAAAATCTTACTAATCCCCCAAATTGGAGTGACTTTCCTTGGGCTGGGGGCCTTGCCAGCCCCCCAACCCTTAGAGAAGGCATAAGGTGCGACCCCACATAAAGTTGTCCATTTGTCAACCCATTCCTTGTGTGTTTGTGTGTGCTGTGGTGGTGGTGGCTGTTTTTGCTTCTCACTTATAAAATGTCATCCACGCCCTCCAGGCCCCTGCTGTACCAGCTCTTCCCCACTCTGGTGCTTCCCAGTGACTGCAGCTTCCTTCAAGCCTTAGCCAGCTTTGATTTTGAAGAACTTGGCCTGAACTGAGAAATCTGTCCAAAATGGCTTAAGCCAGATGAGTTGCACCATTGTGAAAGATGGGTCAAGTGCAACATCTCGAGCAGAGCTGGGGAGGGCAAAGTCAAGCATATGGCACTATTTCAAAGCCTAATGTGATGTCCTCCAGATGAGTTGGGACACCAGTGCCCATCACCCCTTGCTTGAGTTGACTGGGATTGCTGCAAGTTGCAGCCCCAACCCAACCAGAGGGCATCACATGGGGACTGTGGTTGACAACTCAGCTAGATTCGATGGCCATTAGGCATCTGTGGAGGGAGAGACATGACAATTCTTCTGTCTTCCACGCTACATCATATGTGTCACCAAATCACAGGTCAGTCATCTCTGTTTCTAAAGGCAGAACTTAAGACTGCTTCCCCAGAGTCATCCTTAGCGATTAATTTGGTGTTGTGGTTAAGGTGTTGGACTAGAAACTGGAAGACCGTGAGTTCTAGTCCTGCCTTAGGCATGAAAGCTGGTTGGATGACTTTGGGCCAGTCCCTCTCTCTCAGCCCAGCTCACTTTACGGGGTTGTTGTGGGGAAAATAGGAGGAGAAAGGAGTATTAGGTATGTTCGCCGCCTTGAGTTATTTATAAAAATAATATAAAGAAAGTATTAGATAGATACTATCTAGATGGATAGATAATATTAATACACTTAATTAATAAGTGTTATCCATCCATTTATCTAATTTATGTGGCCGCCTATCTATCCAAGAAGCTTTGGGTGATGAACAAGATAAAAACAAAGAATTATCATTAAACTAAGAAAAAAAAAGTATGTTGAAGTTCAATAGAATCACAACACCACTAATCACATACACTCCTTCCGCAACCCCCATATTAACATCCCAATGTCTGGGGAAGAGCCAGGTCTTCACAGCCTTGTGAAAGGCCGGTAGAGTAGGGGTGTCTGTACTTTGGGGGCATGGGGGAGCTGTTCCATAGGGCAGGACCCATAACCAAGAAAGCATTATGATGGCGATCGAGCTTGTTTTGCCCAAACTCTGCGGCAACTCCATGTGGATTTTGAGCATGGATCCAGGTTTTTGTGACTCTTGTTACAGTGCAGTTGTACTGGTCTAATTGACTGTAATAAAGTTGACTTGACTTACAGTGCAGTTGTCACCAGGAGCTCTCTCTCCCACAGGTAAATCACACTTGGCTATTGTCCAGAAGGTGAACAATGAAGGTGAGGGAGACCCCTTCTATGAAGTGTTGGGATTGGTAACGTTGGAAGACGTCATTGAGGAGATAATCAAATCGGAGATCCTGGACGAATCGGATATGTACAGTTAGGTTCATTTTAAATCTTCACTTTTTTCATGGGAGGAATGTATATTTTTAAGTACATCACTATCACAGGTCAGAATGATTATCTGTAAATGTAACCTTGCTTACCTATGAAGATTCATGAATGTTTTATTTTGTATTAAACTTTATTTGTTATATTAGATTTCTGGCCAATGCCCATAATACGATTTTGATTTATATCAGGTACTAGGAGGAGGCCACATTGTGTCCTCATGTACCTTCCTGGATGTCCACCAGTCTACCTGTTCCACCTGACTTCTTTTGAAAATATTATCTTAATTAAAAATTGTAATTGTGACATGCCGACAAGGCAAAACTCCAACTTCTAGGACTCTCTTTATTTGTCTGTGGGCATCCACAGAAGGATGGTAGAGAACCTTCTGGCCCATAGGCATTTTGAACTTGGCTATGGCCATCATGATAGCCCTTCTGTGAAGAGTAAAGTCTCCCATGGTAGCCATTTTGTGACAGAGCTCCATACAGACCCTCAACATTCCAAATGGGCTCCAGTTCCCAAAATATTGCCTGCCCCTGACATACAGGAAGAATTTTCTATTGTGGGTCTTTTCCATGATGCCATGAATTGCCCTTCATCCTATCCAATGAATTGTGCAAGACGTGTGTTCACACATCTTGCTGAATTATAACATTAATTTATTGGGCTTGGCTGAGCGTGTTGTATGAACACAGAATATTGTGGTGTCTTTCATGACTTGTTCCTCACCGTAGCTGACAACCGCACCAAGAAGCGTGTGAGCAACAAGAAGGACAAGAGAGATTTCTCTGCCTTCAAGGACAATGACACGGAGTCCAAAGTCAAGATCTCCCCACAGCTGCTCCTGGCTGCCCATCGCTTTCTCTCTACCGGTAAGAGACCTCTGGGGGGATTTTGAAAATAGTCGTTTTTATTCCTTATTGCAAAAAGATGAGTTTTCTTTCTTTTTTTATCTCCTTCATCCCACTTTTCACTGGGAAGGAGAGGGGTCTCCTTTGGTTTTATCCTTGTACCAGATCACAGTAAAGACAGTTGGGTTGAAGCCTACGATCCTTGCCCAGAATTACTTAGCATGGTCCAGAACCATCCTCTTTCCAGCCCCAGCCCAGCACCTTAAGGGTACCTTGGCCACTGTGACCCCAAGCAGTTGTTCTCCACATCAAAAGAAGCCCTTGGTGGCTCGGGCAATGGGAGTCGTAGTCCCATAAAAGTCGGCAAAGGCCGCTTCCTTCTCTCATCCCACGATCTGCCAGACCTGCCGCCCGCAATCTGGCCAAGGCAGATTCCAAAGACTAATATGAAACCCGCCCCACAGGTCCTCCCCATTGTCTCATGGGGAAATTACAGGGGGCTGCCGACTCAGCAAGGCAAGCCTCCATTATCCTGTCTGCTGCGGCTTTAGGTTTGAATGGGAGTTTCCTCCAGGCTTCGCTTGTTTATTTGTCTCCCACCCCCCCATCCCCCCCCCGGGCAATTAAGACTCAGCAGAAGATGAAGCTGTCGGTCCAGATGTTGCAAAGTGGCAGGGGAGAAAAGCCCTCTTTCTGAGAAAGGGAAAGGAGATTTTAATTATGGAGGAAGAAATGCCTGGCCCTGTGTCTCCCCAGCCCAATTACAAAGGCTACTTGTCTCCTCGACCCCCCCCTTCTTGCTCAAACATGGGGAGGTGGGGGTCCGGGATGCTTTTGCAGTGTTGATCCCCTTGTCAGGAATGCTCTTCCTGACAAAGCCTGCCTGGCTTTTTTTTATCTTAAGAGGCTGGTTTGGGGATTTTACATTGTGGTTTGTTTTTTTTTAAATGATGGGGGTTTTTTAAGGATGGTATAACCTGAAATATATAAATAAAATTCCAATGGTGTGGGGAAAGTCCTAACAACATCTAGCTGATCATATCTTTAAAAGCTAAGCAGGGCCCATCTGATCAGAACTTGGATGGGAGACCACCAGGAACAGTCAGGGGGATAGGCTAGATTGGGAATTTGGAAAAAAAATGTTTTGGAAGAAGGCAGGTGCAAACTGGTACATACTGTCTTCTTGCTAGGTAAATTATATAGATTTTTCTAGGTACTCCCCAGGAATGGAGCATGACTTGAAAGAGACTTTAAGTGTCGAGAATCAGCGCTGGTGGAATTCTTTGAGCGAGGCACAGATGTCATCTTTTATCCAAAGGACCTCTTTGTAGGTTGTGTGAAGGGTGTGGGGTAAAGGCTGGGATTTCTGCACCCTTTCAGTTGTCTCTCTCTGGTCTCCGTTTGCTGTCCAACGAGGAATCCTTTGATTAACTTCCTCCTGCAATTGTATTTTGAGCAGCTCTGATACTTGAAAAACATCTGAACGAACCGATGTTGGGATTTGTCAAATCGGTAGCCACTGTATGCTCCCGAGGAGAGCGATGAGAGGTCTTCCTAGAGCTCAGTGGGGAAATGACTCTTCCTCTCCCCACAAACTCCAGGTGGGAAGAGAAGGAGGAGGAGAGTTCTTCAAGAGTCAGTTCTTCTGTGGTAGAATATTCTACTGACCTTTGTTTTCTGCTCCCCTGGAGCAGGAAGATCCAGAATGCTGAATTTCACTGGAAGGTCAGCTGGGGAAATAGGGCAGTTTGAATAGATGGACCCCGGTTGCAACCCTGTAGGCCTTGGGCCTGCAATGTGAACTAGGCTCATCCCTGTGTCTGACTTGGAGTTTTAAGAAAAGGTCTACTTCACAGGATTGGTTTGTGCAATGTCCTCATTCCAGCCTGCACTTGGAAATAATATTATTCAACTGTATGATAGTCCCCTGCACTTGACCTTGATTTCCCCCATTTTGAGTCAGGATATCCATAAAAAAAGGACCTTAAATCCTTTAATGGGCATCATGCATTGTAAAAAAAAAGGGGGGGGGAGGGAAAGGAATAAAATTCCTGAATAAAACATCAGGAAATGTCAAGGTACACCCCCAGCTTATTGCCCTTCCCCCTGCACTCTTACTCCCATTCCAAAAATATCAGGACATCCCATGTCCCCCAAAGGTTGTCTGTCCATGCACGATGGAGTTTCAGTATCACAATCAGCATACAAATATAAAGTTTGGAAATTAATTTGGCACGAAGTATGGCCTAGCACTTCGCACCCTTGGGAATTCCAGGAGTTCTCATCCCACACTTATTTATTTATTTAGTTGTTAGAGTTATATCCCAACTTTTATTCAGGAACTGAAAGCAGTGTACCTAGGGCCCCTTCCCCCTCTTTTTCCCCACAACAACAACCCTGCGAGGTAGGCCAGGCTGAGAAAGACTGAGCCAGTTCCCCAGGGAGCATCCATGGCTGAGCGGGGACTAGAATCTGGGTCCCTCCACCTTCACCACGGGACCACACTGCATTTTGGGATGAGAGGGGAGGACTGGCCCAAAGTCTCCCAGTGGGGTTCCATGACTGGGGGGCTAGAACCTGGGCTTCTTAGCTGTTAGCTCAGCACCTTCACACTACAAACTCCAAGCTGGGAAATCCAGTGCCTTTTAGAGGTATCCAACCGTTGTCATGCCATCATAACTGTAGTGAGGACAGACTTTAAACCAGATCAAAGACAGCTGGGAGATGCTGGGAAGATGCACGTTTGAGTCACTGGTGCAGAAATGAGCAAAGGGGAGGGAAGACAGCAGGGCGCTACTTCCTGCCCTTCACCCACTTGTTCAGACTGCCTGAAGTTACTCTGTCAAGAGTAAGGAAGATGACCTTGATGGACATATGCAGGATCCGTTCCCTAGGCAAAAAGGACCGAAATGTTTTTTAAGTCTGAAAGCTCCAGATGACATTCAGAAGCGGCTCAGACAGACACCTCCCATGAATTCACTAAAATGTAAGAAGGGGAGGAGGTCCCACACAATCAGAATGGCAAGACTCTGTTGTTAAGGCCAATCTCAAAGTCCTTTTATACTTCCTGTGGAGTTGATCCCCTGCTCTGGTCTACCGAGTGGGGCTGACATTGATAGAAGCTGCCTGCTGAGTCTCGCATCAGGTGGCCCAACTCACTGCCTTTTTTCCCTCCAGAAGTGACGCAGTTCACGGCCACCTTCATTTCGGAAAAGATTTTGCTGCGTCTGCTCAAGCACCGCGATGTCATCCACGAGCTGAAGTTTGATGAGGAGAACAAGAAGTCTCCCCGACATTTCCTCTTCAACAGGAACAAGCCTGCCGATTTCTTCATCCTCATCCTTCAGGTAATGGGTTACTCCAGATGCATCGTCAAAACAAGGAAACGAATCTGTAAGGAATGAGAGGAAGTTTCCCTATTAAGTGCAGAGGAGTCTGTTGGGGTGATGGCACATGCATCATGACATGCAAATACTACAGATTATGAATAATTTGTGCCGTTTGCGCAATGATGAAAGTACATTATACATGTCATTCATGCAATTATGAAATTACGTTTCTGTCATTCACGCAATGTTGAACTTAAATTATTGTACCATTTGCACAGTGATAAAATTACATAATTTGCATCATTCATAGAATGATCAAATTAAATAATTTGCATCATTCACACTATTATGAAATTACATAATTCGCATCATTCACGCAACGGTGAAATTACATAATTCGCATCATTTGCGCAATGATGAAATTACATAATTTGCATAATTCGCGTAATTATGAAATTACATCATTTGCATCATTCGTGCAATGGTGAAATTATATAATTCGCATCATTCACGCAATGGTGAAATTACATAATTTGGATAATTTGCGCTATGGTAAAATTACATTCTCATCATTCGTGCAATAGTGAAATTACATAATTTGGATCATTCATGCAATGGTAAAATTACATTCGCATCATTCATGGAATGGTGAAATTCCATTATTCGCATCATTCGCACAATAGTGAAATTACTTCATTTGCGCAATGGTGAAATTTGCAGAATGGTGAAATTGCATCATTCGCGCAATGATGAAAGTATAATTCGTATCATTGGCACAATGGTAAATTCCATCATCCGCATCATTCGCGCAATGGCGAAATTCCATCATCTGCATCGTTCGCGCAATGGCGAAAGTACATCACCCGCATCATTCGCACAATGGTGAAATTCCATCATCTGCATCATCCGCGCGATGGTGAAATTCCATCACCCGCATCATCCGCGCGATGGTGAAATTCCATCACCCGCATCATCCGCGCGATGGTGAAATTCCATCACCCGCATCATTCGCACGAT